GCTTTGAGTTCTCAGACTCTCCGATTACCATTTTTACCCTTCCTTGCCGAGCTATATCAAGTCCGTGGCGAGGCCAGACAAACCATATACTCCACACAATGTAAGTATCCTATGTGTTCCTATGCAGCCAGTACTTTACCTTCCCCTGTCGAAGTCCTGAGCTGACTTTTGCAAGTTTATGGAGCCAGTCGATGCACCATTCACTCCAATTAGATTAACGTGCACACTTGCATCAGTACCAGCAAATATGTCGTCCGATGTCGTCACCTTTATCTCATATTCTGTAAGCAAAAGAGATTCCTAGTGACCTTTGTACGCGAATATTACGATCCTTGATTACGAAGGAAACCCACAGGAACTTAGCGGAAAGGGCATTCTCTTTAAACTTCCCTTTACAGGGATTTTCTTTTCAACAATAATGTAGCATTGGCAAGATCAGTAACGAGCATAATTGATGACCAAAATATTTTGAATAACGCATGAATTCGCTTTTAACATTAATGTTGAGACGTGCTGGCCGCACTGAGCCTCCGATATCCCGGTTATTTCTTCTATAGTATACATTGGCTAAGCAAGGTCTTAGACCTGCGGAGCTCAGTCTGCTTCTTCATAAGTTCAATTACAGAAGTGAAGCTCTTTTGAACAAAAACCTTACTTGGAGGAGCCAGTCAATGTACAAATGGAAATTTCTACTTTTCTTGATACTCCCTCATATTTTCAAGACACATTTTCAATTCAAATGAAGACGGCCACTAAGACTCACTAGTCACCCCGTAGACTTGAGATCCAGTTAAAATCATTAGCAGTGGTAGAAATCGAAGCAACAACATTCCATAGTCAGCAGCCTGTTGTCGGACTGTTTCAGTGAACATCAGAATAAATGGACTCACTCTCGATATGCTGAGAACTTCTACCTTTGAGGGAGAGGCAATCTGTAAGCTATGACTAGGAATTTGCGTAGCTGGATGGAATGTTTATGCAATAGTTTTGGTTTGATTGACGACGTAATTATTTTTCTTTAATGTTTGCTCATGGCAAAATCAATTAACCCAGAATAAAAAGGACATTTAAATCTTTTTCTTAAAACTCAGCCCTCTTCAATATAAAAATTGATTTGCTTTCACATGGCACCAGTAATATGGGCTACTATTAAGTTAAAATATTGAAATAGCTGAAAATTATTATCACTTCTTCGGTCGCAGCTGGAAAATCTGTCTCATAAAGATAATACAACGAAATTCTAAACTAACAAAACGGCCTTTACATTGAAAATTTTTCACAGCATAATTTCTCGAATTTTTGGAGTAAAATTGCTAAGTTTACATTTGTTTTTCATATAACCTATTCCCTAATTTGAGTTCTCATATTGTTTTACGAATGCGTGTGGCGAATTTCCTTGTTGATGTTTATTAATTTGATATATTAATTTTGTTTAAATATCATTTTCTATGGATGTTAATCAGAACCTTGTTTTAGTCAACTCTAATTTACTTAGCTAATCCAATAATGACTGAGCTGATACGAATTTTCTAAACTTTTGTAAGCTAGTCTTCCCAACAACCATCACATGAAATATATAGTTGGAAGGTCAAAGCTCTGTATGTATAATCTAAATGGAACACTATTATGAGGCAGTTCTACTTTGTGACATTCAGGCTTGTTTTTTTTTTTTTTTATCCATTCCAACATTTTTTGAAATACCATGAAAACGAAAGCCAACAACATGATACATACACATGAATTTGTTCGTTTCCATAGTAACAGGCGGCTTTTCCTGATCTGCAACCACACAGCTATTCTTTCCTTACTGGTTTTTGATACAGGCGGGCGTAGGGTTTAAAAATAGGGCAAGCTCAACCTTTAATAATTTCTAAAGATCTGTGTTTCCTTTCAGGATCTGTTCCATGAGGACATTTTGATTTTAAAACAGATGTAAGAGACATCGACGGTTATATGAGAAACAAATAAAACTTCCAACTTTACGAGCAACACGTAAGAGAAAATTAATCGGATTTTTTAAGACTGTCCTGATTTTACACTTCATCCTAAAGATACTGTGAATGCCTCTATCCTTCACTCGTATAACGTTTTCAACCTAACCGCTACACTATAGACACAATCGTTTGTTCATAGTCCGTATTCACCTGAAATTTGTTTTTCTGACCTTCGTCGGATTTTTTCCAGTGTACATGGGAAATTGGAAAAGCATGAAGTTAAAAAAATAAGAACTTTTCGTTTTCGGCCCAAAATGTTCATCCTTCTATTGCAAACTAAACAGTTCTGACATCGTGTGCCATTTTCCTTCTTACCCTAAAACTGACAAATTATCACATGAACCTAAAGAGGATTTTCTTTGAGAATCTCTTGATCAAGTGTAAAAATGGAAAGAAAAGGATTTAAAGCTAAATACGACTCCTTTGGATAGAAAGAAAGAGCCTTTATAACGGAATGGAAAAGAATAGAATGAGTTTCTTGCATTACAGCAACTCTATCCAGGTATTAGAAACTGGGTGATTTGACACAGTCTTAATTATGAAATTTTAACGTGAGCGAATTTTGGTCAAGTTAAACCTTTGAATTTTTAAGCGGATGCAAGAAAGCGGTTCATTAATATGATGACTTTAATTAGCAATTACATCAAAGGTTCTTGGAAACTACGCCTGACGCCACTGAGTTTAAGAGTATTCGAAGAAAATTCTGTATCTGTTGTCATGATTTGCCTAAGAGCTTCCTTTTACTTGAGCAATCGCTCTCGGAAATGTCCCTCGATCTAAGTGACCACTCGTTCTAAATTTCGGGTAGTTCGTATGAAGAAAAGCCAGCCCGTATTTCGTAGCACACAGCCACTCAACTGACGATTAACAGCCAAACACATTTTCAGTAGCAAGAAAGTGCTCTTGACCATGACATTGTGTTTGCGTACGATGGCTTTCTTCCAACGAACTCCAGACACTTTTAAACTCTCCAGTTCACGTGGGTGAAAACTGATAATCCACTCAATTAAGGAATCGTCTTCTGCCTGGTAATGAAAGCATAGAAATTAATCCATTAACATAATTTGGACAATAGGGAAAGGCCCTCTCTTGGCACAGCCTAACAAAATGGCAAGGGTAAGTAACTTTACGACCTATCATTCCCACAACGGTAGCAGGGACTTTCTTCTACAAAATTTCGTAAAGTTCACCTTCGTCCTCAACAATCTACTGAAGATGCTCTTTTGCCTGATACGCCCTAGTCTGAGCAAAATATGGCAATTGTGTGTTTTAATTCATAACATGAACCTCAAAATTCTGGGGTTTTCCGAGTATGTCTCACATGACAATAGACCATTTCCGAAATGCTTCACGCCTTTAAGCCTTTAAGACCTTTTAAATGAAAATATTCCTTTTAGAGTTCATGCCACTACAACTCATTGTCACAAGGAGGTTCTTGCACATGGTCTCATTTAAAATTGAGAGAGGTTTCAGAACTCGGAAATAGAACAATTGAAGTCATCATTAGAGACCTAAGTCTTAAAGGAAGAGTCAAAATTTACATCGCATATGTATATCTCCATATTTATTTTTGCAAACTTTTGAGAAAAATTTACAAATGAATTTTTATATATACTTAACGCATCAAGAACAACGTCTTTCATTGCAAGTGGCGCTTCTCTGTTCACTATGACAGCTATAGCAATAGATCGGTTCTTGGCGATTCATTATCACATGCGGTATGCAGTGTTGATGACTACGAGGCGTGCCATATATTC